CTTGCTCTACTTTCATTTCCATTATCTCTTCAAAGTTTTGTTTTAATGGCAATCATTTCGTGTTAATGAACTCAATGACTCAATTAGTTTCACCAATTCAATTGATTTTTATTTTCTAAAAAGATTTAACCCAAGAACGATTGCTGGACAGGACCTATACCCGACCCCTTTGGAGGGTATTCCAACACCATTAACAAATAAACAAGTACAACTGTATGGTGTACCTTTGTAGTATAAATAGGGTTAGCCTTGCAAAAGTTTTTCCAGTTTAATCTTACTCTTGAAGATGATCACTTGGTGATCGAAACACGCGCCGAGGTGGTAAAAATAACGATTTGGTGTTGGAAAGAAACTCCAGTAATACTTAAATATCGTGTTATTTTGATGATCGAAGAGGATAACATCAGGTTTACCAACTTGTATCTACCTGAGGGTGGTTCTGGTCACCTCGTTGTGTGTTGAAAATCGAAAACCATATTAAGTCAATTGTTGGCTCATGTAGCTGCCTTGAAACAAATGCTCCAATATATGCTTTTTATGGTCATAGACCATAGACACTCCAAACTCAAAAGTCCACGACATCCTTTCCACTATTCATCGTATTGTCTTCTTTAGAGTTAAACCCTTGCATACTTGCCTAATCCGAATTCCAAATCGATAGCATGAGTGAAGTCTTCTAATTTGTCAATTTCTCTCAAATCTCCGGAAAACTTCTTTATCGCTTTGTTGCTTCACCTGCAACTGAAGTCTCCGTTAATAGCCCTATTTTGTTCGGATATCCGCTGAATTGACAGTGTTCAAGGAGCAGCCTTGTACTTATTCTGAACCAATCCCTGCTCTGTTGTTGATCTGTTATTCAGATCGGTTCTCAGATGTTCACTTTTTTGAGGTGTTTGCGAGGTTGGTGCCACATTTTTTCCAACATTTTTTATGTTTATGCCAATTATTCACGATTCACCAATTTTTCGACTGCAGCCTAAATGTACCATGTTGCCCAAGTAGCAGACGAAACGTATGGTAATTATTTTTTTGATATTTATGTGTCTTTTTTTAGACAAACTATTTTTTCAAAAATGGATATTTCATAACATTATCCTATACATAACATTATCCAATTTAAAATAAAACGGAAAAAATCAATATCATCTTATATGCAGCTGATATTTTAAAACAGAGATTGCTGAATAAGTCAAATTGCGAATGAAGCTGTTGATAAAAAAATCCTATATAATGGAAACTTAACTGATCACACTGTATTTTATGAAATTGATACTCTTGCCTCCCCCGTTATTACAAAATATAGAGGAGCTTGATTATTTTCTAAACCCCCCTTCCCTGGCATTTTCAGCTACAAATTCCTTAAATGTTTTATCCTATTTTTAAGTAGTGTTTTAACTGGCTTATGTGCCACTTTGTATAAAACACTCTTACTAACCTCCAGAGCATTCATAACGCGTCATCCAGCACAAAAATATATGAAACAAATCGACCCAATCAATCCAATCTTGATATTGATCGATAACGACTTGGACATATCGTATACTAATTGGTACAGAGATTTATTTTCTTCCGGACGAACGATATACAGCATATCCTTCCTAATAATTTGAATAAGTATAAGTCGATAAGAACTTGTACGTAATAGAGTCATTTGTCATTCTCGATGGTTGCGCCGATATGGATTAGTTGCGAGAGACGATGAGAAGGTTGCAAAAAGTCATAAATTTCCTGGAGGTAGAACAATTTGAATTGTTGCAAAAGACTCATCGTTTCGACTACAAATGTTCACGTCATCACTCAATTTGATGATGATTGTGCTTAGCATGATAATGGACTCAACATTTCATAATCGCTCTTCATCAGCAAATATTATCGTTAACAAACAGAGACAATTAACTTTAATTGGGATATAGATAAAATAAACCATGGGTACAAGGCTGAATGAACATCGGAGAAATTGTAGATTAGGTCAAATAGACAAATCGGCAGTAGCGCAACACGCGCTTAATGAAGGAGATCACACGATACTGTTTGAAGATGTGAAACTACTTGTCCCGATCAGATATACCACAGTCGGCTTGTACGGAAAGCCACAGAAATCCATAAACATACGGAGGACGCGGTAACGCCTAACTGGTTTTGGAATCCCATACTAAAAGATGCTAAAGTGGCAACACCGCAAGGCAATGTTACGTCATCAACAGGTAATAACACTTCGGCCAATAGCAACGTATCAACAAGAGAGGCGGACTACCTGAGTCAACATAAATACAACCTACGAACTAGAAATCACCAGTCATCGGTGAATCATCAAGATGAATACGACAGCCTTCAAACTCGAATGAAGATAATAACACTGAAAATCTCGGCAGCGAAAACCTTAACCAATTTAATAGATAAAATATGTTTGAAATTTAGCCGACGGCCCTAAATTTTCACTACAAATAACATTTCTAGCTAAACCTACAACTCTACATTTTTTTCTACAATGATATGTTCTTTCCTAGCTAAACGAAATCAGCTTTAAATTATGAATACGCTGATCCGTTGCAAAGCATTTCATACAATAGAATAGTTCGAAGTACCCGTTCAACTGAAGAAGCTATTGTGTAGTGAAACGTCTTGTGCATGAGTAAAGTTCACAGTAAACAAAATTATTTCGATATTACGGATTGAGATCGGCTTCACTGAAAATTTCAATATTTTCAATAGTTTCCGTGATGGAGAATAAATTTATGTTTCCCTATTCCGCACGACTTTTTTCGACATTTGACTGTTTTTTTATATTTACCTTTTTGAGCATTTTCACGTTCCGCGATCTAAAAAAAAATTGCAATGGAGAACTTCATATATGTGTATAAAAAGGGCAAACCCGATAAGTTACTGCTCAAATTTAACAATGATAAATAAAAAAAAAATCTGTTTGGCTTTTACTTCTCCATCTTTATATAAAAAAATGTGGGAAAATTTCCAATACCTTGTTTTTTCTAAAAACCTGTTTCTTCTGAGTTTCGTATATATGAATATATTAGATCTCAGTATATTTTTTGTTTTGTGAGCGGTTTCAAAATTATATCTACTTCCAATTCGTTTCATCTTTTCAGGTAGGAATATTAGGTATGACGTTAGATATACAATAGATTATGGAAAGTGAAAATACCCGGACCCGAAAAGTTGATAAAAAATCACAGATTTATTCCACAAAAAATGAGTTTTTTTCAATATTTGATTGAAGTCATTTTCAATATTTTGTTTTATGGAAGTTTATAAACAAAAATGAAATCGGAAAAAAGTATAAATATTTTAGCCAAATTTCAAATCGATATATTGTTTCGTTGACATGACACACAGATACGCGAAAGAACAGACAGACAGACTATGGGGGAATTGCTTCAATTGCCTACCTTAAGTATATATATATCAAATCCGATCATTGGCACTAACAATTCATAATATTTCTAATTAAGCATGATAAGATAAATGTGGAAATATAATACTATGAATAAACCATTATAACACGCTAAAACGCATTACAATTCGGAAAAGATACGTTTCAATCGATTATCGAACCGACGATCCAATCAATCATAACAGCCAAAGCACAAGGAAATCGTGAACGGTTTATCGGTAAAACAGCATTGTAGCGCAGAGTTGTCACGTCCGCTGAAATAAAATAGTGGAAGTAAAAAAAAAGAACCGACAGACAAAACGATATCAATACGAAAGAGCTTTCGCACGATTATTGTTTATTTACGGTCAATGAATAAATGCAAGAGGAGAAATATTATATCACAAATTTTTATATTCCTTCTATTGGGAAACTAAAGAAGTATTATACATAACATTTTGAGGTATGTACTCAGTTATAAAAAGAAAACGATACAATTTTTTTCTTATTTGAAGCTTCATATGAACTCTTTTGTTTTAATCCTAATATTAATACTTTCAACGCGTAATGAAGTAGCCATAGCCTAGCAACCAACCTCCATATCTCATCTGTAGAGAATCTCGCCTATGCTTCATCTGTTCTATTTCAATCCTTGTGAATACTTTTATCTCTCTTTCCTGGTTCTCGACGCACCCAAGAGGTGTTGCTAGAAAATAACTGAACTGAGTTTTATGAGACAAACTGTGCGAGTCTCAAAATCAAACGCCATATTGTCCAGTCGCCTGACATCTCACCTCCAAATTGCAGTCTGTTGGACGACACTAACTGGCTCATTTGGGCTAGAGCATTTGTTCATGACGGATAGTGTATATGACACTCGTCGAAATAATGGTAGGCGTTCTGATTAAGCAAAGATTTTACGTGAAATTTTTTGAAAAACTCAAACTGATCACAGTCACCACAACTGAAGGGAGTACAAATTAAAGTTTGGGGTCATGATGGACTGTTTTTTTAATACATGCACTTCTATACGTAATTCGGTTCCTGAATAAAGAATATTATATTGAGGTTCTAACTGTGGAAGAACCAATTGTTCTCGCCCACAATGCACTGATAAGTTATTTTTGGTGTAGCATGGGTTCCCTGTGTTGGAACATCCCACTCACCACATTTTACTCCGTTTGACTTTTGTATCTTCCCGAAAATAAAGGAAGCATTGAAAGGAACAAGGTTTGATACAGTGGAAGGTTTGGAATTAAAATCGACGGAAATCACAAATAGACTTTCATGAACAACGAACGCACTGAGTAAGTGAGATATATATTCCCTTACGAACACGCCATCTATGAGCATATTTCGGTGCGATGGCACCAATTTCATCAGAATCAGAAGCTTTGTGGACAATTAAGCTTTCACGTGAGAAAAAAGACCTCGATCAATCAAACAATCGATCATATGGATGCCATCAACTGTCGCTCTGCATCTTCAAGAAGCAGGAAAAAGCAGGACTCCGCGGTACCGCTGCAGGAAACCCGCGATCAAGCGAATTTTAGCGATCGTCGACGAACAGCCGAAGAACGAAGAGTTATTTAAGAAAATGCGGCGCGGATGCTGCAGTTCAGCTAAGCAGTCGGCTCGTGTAGGCCGGCCAGTTCGAGAACGAGCGCGCAGAGTGGTGTGTAGTGGATGATATCGTTTTTTTGGGATACAAGTATTTTGTTTCGATAGAATGGAGAACAAAAGTTTCGACCCAGATAACGTAAGTTGGGATTTCGAGAATTTATTCGCTTTCGAAAAAAAATACGTCGATTTTAGAAAACTAGCAGAAGCAGCATACTATATAGAATCATATCACTATATAAATAAAGCATATAATTAACCTTACTAATTTGTTCAAACCAGAACTAAGATCAAGGAGGATTATTGCTGAAGAACCAACTGAATCTACCATCTTCTATCCTGACAAAAAATTCAAGATGCAGTAAAATAGAAAATCACAAAAACAAACATATCATTAGAAAAGAAAAGATTTACTGAATAATATCACTTTTATGGAATACAAGTTTACTGCAAAAAACATCGATTTTAGAAATCCAGCAGAAGTAGTATATTTTTTCATAGTATTCATTCAACAAAAGTTCTAAAACGGGTTGGGTTTCGTGTCTCATCCGCTATTGAAATCTCTCAGTTTATTGGAATGAGATATGCACCCCTATTTGTTAACATTCACAGGTTATTTCAGAAATATATTTGAAAATTAAATTCTAAAAATGTCTCTCTATACGAGGGTAAATTAATGATATAGTGGAAAAGAAAAATATTTTCCATCAATCTATATGTTAATATGTTGAAAACTGGTCAAAGAAGATGTTCAGTTCATTCACAACTGAAATGTTCCACACTTTCAAGAATTTTTTCATAGTATAAACATTCAACAAAAATTCCAAAAGGGTTGGGTTTCGTGTCTCATCCGTTATTGAAATCTCTCAGAATTCTTAATGAATAATTATGCTTTCAAATTATTAATGGAATATTTATATGCTATAAATATTAAGCAAAATTTAAAATGATCGTTCATAATTCTTTCAGACAAATTTTTTAATAGTCTGAAATCCATTTGACTGAGAGCTCCTTCATTTTTATTGAACTTATTGGATTTCTAGAAGTGATCGCAATACCTAATGATATTATCCCAAATTAACCTCAATTTGTACAGATATATTTACATGTATAATGCCAAAATTTCGATGAACATGTTAAAAGTGCATCTAGTAGTGATGTCATTATCAATATATCACTTTTGTGGAGATAGAGAACAATTAATCTCCATAGATAATGTTTCGTATAGGTACATATAGGTAATACACTCCCAGTCAATTGGGATTTGGAAAAAGTTTCACTATAAATTTGAATATGTTGTACAAGAATAAAGAGAATACAATCCGAGCTGGTAGGCAGTGGTCGAGTGGAATCTGAAGTACCAAAAGTTTCGTCTGCTACTGCGGCAGACATCATCAGTGGTATGTGCCTTGAGTGCGAAGACAACAATGCTCAACAATGACAGTCAGTCGGTTCCAGGTTCCATTTGACCACGGCTTACCTGCCCAAATTTAACCGTGACTTCGGCCTATGAAGGCCTAGTTCTTATATTGCTGTACAAGGTAATATAAAGAAATTACCGGCTTGGTGCAATTTTTAATTATAATGTATATACGTATACCGTCACAGACGAATCGAACGTTTCTGTTAAAATAATTAAAAAACAAAAAACGTAAAAAAATATTCTAATGCCCACATACCAGTAAAATTAGAACATATAAGTAATTAGAGTTTATTGGATTCCTTCAGAACTAAATGAGTACACAAATAGTTATTAGAATTTTAAACACACTGTCAATTGAAAAAAAAAATAAAACCTAGATCAAAGGCTGTCGCATCCATATAAATGAAAATTTAAAAAATCCGTTTACAAAATAATAGAAAAATTTTAGAAAAATCAATAAAAATAAATTGTGTTAATGAATGAAACGAAATCCATCATTTCATAACTGAAAATAAGCATTGATTTGCAAATATTTGTATATATATTTGACTGATGACATAATATTTGACTAACATTTCTCATCTATTGGGTACTTTAACTCAATATACTAAACAATCCCATTTCTTTACGGTACATTTCTTGTTACAGTCAAAGATAAGTTTTTTGAAAATTTCAACAAATCTCTTTTCAAGTATTAAAACAATTTTGCCTTATTAGCAACATAGGTTTTTGGAAATAGGTCAGGAGGACACTGAAGATCCGTAAGATGAAAGAGTTAATTGAAGAAGGTATGCAATATGTATCTTCGAGTTGACTTTGATCAAAATTCAAACCAACAACTTCCTTATACGTTTAAACTTCAACGACAAGTCTTGGCAAACTATAAATATAACGGTTTCAAAAAATAGTTCTCTATTTGTTGCTCCAAAACTTTGACAAAAATTCATATCCCAAAATTTTCATCTGTACAATTATTACATATCACGTATCCAACAAGTTGTAAATTTTTCAAAATGTTTCCTTTGCTTCATATTCCTAGTTGATTGTTGTAATGTATCGATTTTGTGTAGTAAATACAGTATATGTAAAATATTTTATCAGAGCTGAAATAATATATGTTGCACCTTTCTGAGGGATTGTTCTTTTTTCAGTAACCAACGGTGAGAAGGAATATATACTTTGTTATAAGGTCTACCCATTTATTTTGAACTAAATTTTTTATTAATAAAATACTTCTGCCATACACTTTTCTAAAATGGGAGAAACATTCAGCAACTTAACAATAATGGTAATCAACAGAAAATACGCAAGGTATATTAAACAGAATAATTTTACCATCATTTGATCATCAACAACTTTATTCACGCCATAGAATTGTCACTGAAATAATCTCGAATGTGTATCGAAATATTTATCTGTCCTTTGTTCATTTATATACGTTTCATTTAACGTCAAATTCTTCGGGACTTAAATGTTATTCATTGTTGACTAATTGATAAGTTACCTACCGCTGATATTCAAGCAAATCCGGTGAAAATCTAACTAGTGAATAATGGTTCAATTACAATTATTGTCACGTTCGAATTTATTAGCACAAAATTCCTCTAAGAGTGAGTAATTGGATAATAACTTTTATCCTAGACAATATGAAATATGTAGATTATTTAGAGTAATAATTTATAGTCTGGACCCACTAAAGAAACTCGATTCAGCTGCTTAGCAATTTCAATATGTTATCACAAAAGGATAGGAATCATTTTTATAAATTATAGTCGCCATTGATGTGTTTTTATTGAATAAATAGTCTGGCTAAGCTTAAAATAAAGTATAATAGCTTTCTATACAATTACTTAGCAATTTCAATATGTTATCACAAAAGGATATGAATAATTTTTATGAATTATAGTCACCATTGATGTGTCTTGATGGAATAGTCTGGCTAAGCTTAAAATAAAGTATGATAGCTTTCTATACAATTAAGCATCTGGCATTGGGGAAAACTACAAAAAAGCTCCATCTGAATAAAAAAAAAAGTCAAACTGCTGCAAAACAAGCCCCACTTAGTTATCAAATATATATATTTTCCAGGTTTCATGATAGTTGTGAGTGAATGAAGAATTCCGAAGCGTTGAAGTGGAAAAAGTATTAGTAGACGCGTATGGGGCATTGAAAGCCTTCAAACTCCTGAAATACCTTGAGAAAATCGTATTTTTTAGAACATTTGTAATACCAGGTTTGGAAATCTTGGATAGCCTATATTGCAGATATGCAATACTCTTCACGACGTGCACTTCAACCAAGTTGACGTATTCAGTTTTTTCACCTTCTGAAGATGCCAACTTGGTAGGTGAAACACGCGTCGAGAATAGTATTGCATTTCTGGTGATTGGGCTAGTTCTTGTTTTGGGTTTATCTTGCCCCAGAGGTTCCAGGTTCACTTAACCTATATCAAGAAAAAAAAACGATATTACTCTCATAGAAAACCAATACGTAATAAAAGTGCAGCTAATTGTTGTCTGTTTATCTGTTCATCTATTTGGTAGCGGTTTTCACCGTATTTTCACATGTTCTATGGAAAGATTCACTCAATTTATTGTTTGATTTGTTTCAAACGGTTCATAACTAAATAAAGTATGTCAAGTTTCTGCAAAATCAACATTTGTTGATTTTGCAGAAACTTTGGTAAACTATATTTTATATAGTTTGTAAAATGATTTTTTCACAAATTGATTGGCAGCTATATAAGAAAGTTTTGATGTGAAACAATATGGAAAAACCCAAAACTTAAATCAATACGAATGAAGTGATGGGCAACAGCCGGACTCCCCTAAAACAACCTTCTTTTCAATAGTGGAGGAAAACTGTTGGGTTCATACCAAAGACATTCTACTGAAATCAATTCCACTTAAGTATGAATTCACTCGAAGATTGCGTTTGAAATGTTTAGAAAAAACTGCTGCGTTAACACACAGTATAAGTCACAGCCACAGAGTGGAAACGCATTGGTATGGCATACTGATAGTCCCAAGATGAATAACGGGGTTAACATAGAAGTCAGATTCCATTTCTAAATATTTCAAAGCCATTGAAATCACTTTCATCATGCAAAAATGCATGCCACTTGTAAGTCTAAACTGGATTTGGACTGCAAGAAGTTCCCTTAAACAGCTGACACAGAGAAATTAAGAAACTTGCATGTATGGATGCCAGGTCACTACAAATGTCCTTGAAATTCGGAAATCCATATTCCTTTTTCTGATCTGGAACCTTTCTGTGGACTTTCGGAAAATCACATGACGAAAGATTGCGACAATGGACACAGAAATGAAGTGCCATGACAAATACAAACGAAAAGTTTGATTAGTACCTATAACTCCAAAGAATGCTGAACAGCTCCAGTTGAACGGAAAAATTTTTTAATGGAAGTTATTTCAGCAGATGGACTTGCTGACTTATTTTTCAAGTGGCAAACTTTGCTCTGCAGAAGGTTGAACTTCCATAAAGGGCTCTAAAGCCAACTTATATCAGGTAATTGACTGAAGTCTCGGCATTGGAGAGTTCGAATATTATTATTACCTACAGGAAACCTTCGAGCTGAAAAATCCACGAACAATTACAATCAATAGCAAAAGTAGTCTTCTTTTTACTCGAGTAACGCCTTTAAAGTCTGGATTCACCTATTTACCTTTTTACATCGAGAACTGCATGGGGATAGA